TTTTTACCCAAAACGAGTGCAAATTAGCGGCTCATTTTAACGGGATCTAACTGGTTATGTTGAATTTGCCACAATAAGGGTGGGGTGTAAGAAAAAATCATAGGTGAGGGGGGTAGATGTAATTATCCAAACAAGAGGGGGTTTTTGTAATTTTGACCATACCTCAGGGGGGTGTTTGTAATTTACCCTAATTTTTATTTTCTCAAATTTCCATCGGAAAGGGAATAAAACGTCGCAAGGAAAACCAGGCTGCGACGGAGCTGTAAGAAAGGTCGCGATGGCGTCTTATATTTACGCCCAAACCCTATTCCCCCTTCCCATTTCGTGCCCTCCTTTTCCCTCTACTCTCGCCGCCGCTGCTCTCCCAGGTCCCAACCTAGTCGCATCCACCGGCGCCGCGCCGCGCCGCCACCTCCGCCGTTCAATTCCTCAATACCCGGCCTACTTCTCCTCCCCGCAGCTTGTATCAGGTAAGTTATACCGCCCTAACTCTGAGGTTTTCAGGCATTGTTGCATCTGAATCGGAATTTTATAATTTTTCCAGAAAAAAAAAAAAAACTGTGGCAATTAAGCAATTAAGTTTTATGAAGGAGAGCAACATGAAATTGGAAATAATTTGTTTATAATAAGTTAATCACGGCCAATCCACTCAAGTCAGGTCAAATTACTCAAAAAAATCATTATATTTGGGTAATTACAATCGCCCACAACTATGGATCTTCTTACACGTCCACTCTTGCGATGTCATGTTTAGTGGAATCTTCTAGATTATGTGAAATATTTTTCAGTTTGTACCTGTTTTACCCCATTCGAGCTCCACATTCTGAAAATCATAAGATGTGTCTCTTGGTTTATAAATATCAGATTGTGGTAAATCAGAAACTGCGTTTTTGCACAAAACGAGTACAAACTAGAGAATATTTTATGGAATTTAGAAGACTGTTGAATTTGACATTATAAGGGTGGACGGTGGACGTGTAAGAAGACTCATAGTTGAGTTTGTTGTTGTAATTACTCAAACATAAGGGGTTTTTTCGTAATTTGACCTTACCTCTGGGATGACCGTAATTTACCTAATAAGTATTATCTATATAAAAAAAGTTCTCTGATGGTTTTATTGAACTAGAAAGATGATATATGAATCAATAAAAACAGTCTTGTTTATGTGCAAAACATATTCCATATACACATGGTTAAATTACCCTTTTTATTTCAATGATTTCGTCAGCGTGAAGCAATTGCCAAGTAAAGAATGCCGAAGGATAGGAGTTGGGTTCTGCTAGACGACCATCGACTCGACGCATTTCAAAATGGCTGTGTCGAATTTCTAGATTTCGCTTTAAAAAAGGCGGCCATTGATGACAAAATAAGGTGTCCGTGCAGAGACTGCAAGTGTCGCAAAGTCGGCGACCGTGAATTTGTGCACAAGCATTTGCTTTGGAGGGGTTGGGACAAATCTTACGGTCAAGGTCAATGGATCATGCATTTGGAGTCGGACGAAGAATACCAACGTTGTGGCGATCCGGTTTGTGAGGAAATGAAAGAAAACGAAAGTAATAATCCACGAATGGCGATTTCGGCAGACCACGATCTTAGTAGTATCAACGAATGGACCAATAAACACGTGAGTGATATTGTTATTTATTTTTTGAAAAGCTATGTTACGTAATTACTTTTTAAAATCGTGTATAATTCGCAGCTTAAAAGAATTGTCAAGAACGCTACTTTGTCGACTAAGTGCACCGAGTCATTGGAGGAATCCGTGGCGTCTACCGCTAATGGTGGTGCGATTAAAAAGCAACTAGGCGTAGAAAATCCCAAACCGTGTGAAATTTTAGTAAGTGAAGAAAAAAAAAACCCTTATTTAAGTTTCTCTTATTGCAAACGGTAGTTCTTGATTTCTATTTTTCGTATATCTCGTATTAGTGTCCCATATAAATGTTTGCAAATTTAATTTTTTCAGGAGGCTCGGGAAAGAGAGTACGAGAACTATTTAAATGGCGGAGGTTGTGAAAGTCCAGCCAACGCAATAATAGTATGTCAAAAGGTGTTGGGAAAGAGCAAAAAACGTAAATTTAAACGATCAAACACAAAGAAACTTGCAATAATATCAAGAAAAAATTCCGATCAAGACGATCGAATCCGATCTTTAAAGGAACAAATGCAGCGTTTGGATGAGAAGATAGCCAGGTTGGAGAGCACTATAACCGAATTACGGAGCACCGTAAAGTACCTAACCGAGAATCTCGAGAAACAAGGTTTTGTTCTACCCAATATCCCTCTAGCAGGCATGAACAAAGAAGATGGAAAATAAACTGCAGATTTGATTGCTCTTTTGTAATGCAATGGTAATCTTTTTTTTTTTTTTTTTAATGTATTTTTTAACTCTGTCTTTGTATCTGTTGAACCTAATGGTTGATTCGAATGTGGTGCGATGGAATCTTTATATTTCGTTACAACTTTTGCGATGAGATATCCGGAAAAGTTGCGAGCTTTGCGATGATTTGATCTTCATCGTTAAGGTTAAAATTCCCGGGGGGCTCTTTTTTGCACATAGTCATGATCGCATTATTTCCTGGATCGACCAAGTGCTCAGTGCTGTTGCACGGGAGTCGGGGCCCGTAAACCGTAATCGGGCCCGCCCCATCACCGCCGACGGAACCCGGCTCAAGACCCTCGCCCTGCCCCATTAATTGTTATGCAATAGTCAACAAGTACTACTTATATTACATAGTATGATACATTAGAACCTCGATAAATTAATGACATTGTTTAAATAATAGTTTCTCCTGGTCTTGACTTGGTAAAAATCTGCTAATTTATTAGTTCGATGATTTAATATTTCGCTAAATTAATTAAATTTTACTAGTTCCAATTCTATTAATTTATAAAGATTTACCTATATATGTAATTTATTTGGTTACGCCTACGACAATATATATAATATATGATACTAAATATGAGACGAATAAATGTATCTAGTTTAAATTGGATCGTTTATAGAAAGACAATATACTATTTGTTCTAACATGTTAGTCACTCACTCACTCAGTAAATTTTATGATTTGTTATTTTGGTGGTTTAATTTGTTGCCATATTTCTAAGGGTGCAAGTTGGAACAGAATTTTCAATGTTAGCTGGTTCTGATCACAATAATCCCCTTTATTAATAATTTGAAAAATTGCAAAATGGTGAAAAAATTCAGAAAAATCCAATTTAGGGGTTAAAGTGTAAGTCCTGAATATATTAATAGAAATGGTAAATTATAACCATTTTTTAGGTACGGTCAAATTACGAAAAACCCCTATTGTTTGAGTAATTACAACTAGGGGTGGTTTTTTTTTACCAAATTGCCCTACCAACCCGATGCCCTACCGTACCGTGCCGATTCTCTACCGAAAAATCTCTACCGAATTATTACCGTACCCTACCGTACCCTACCGAAATGTTTTGGTAGGGCAACGGCACTTAACATTATTAAAATGGTAATGCCCTACCGTATCGAAAATTATTAATAAATAAATTTTTATTTTAATAATTCAATTTATTATATATAATTGATGTTAAAAGTTTTTATGTTATAATTTTATTTAAGAAATATTTTACATTAGGTAAATTTAGAACATATATTTAGCACACTTATATTTTAAAAATTAGTTTTGTACATTTTAAACATGTATACCTTGAATTGCTTTGAAAAAAATTATATTCAATTTAGACTTAAATAATAGATAATATAAATTGGTAATTACCATTACCATACCCTACCGTACCGAACTTTTGGTATACCGAAATCGGTATACCGAAGTTTTTGGTAGGGCAATGGTAATGGATTTCATAATACCGAAATTTCGGTATTGGTAGTGATTCGAGGGGTTTGGTACGGTTGCCCTACCAAACCCACCTCTAATTACGACCACTCCTATAGGAAAAATAAAATGGAG